TAGCGCAAAGTTTATAAGCATTTTAATGGCGATTTTATAAGAGCATTAATTAACTTTTCAAATCCTTTTCAGCTTCCTTTTTGCAGCTAATTACTTTAGCTACGCCATATTTCAAAGGGCTAATTAAGCTTTTGATTTTCGATTTTTGATTTTTGATTCCTGTTTTCCTGTTCTTCACCTGCAAGCATCCGCTTACAATATTATTTAACACATCAAAGAGTTTGCTCATATATGAGTGCTCTGCAATGGCAGAGATTCCTAAGCCTTTGGGCATTGCGAGCTCTGATTAGTTGAAGTCGCTTCTAATGCTATTGGAGGGTTTATATAAATGATAAAATAGAGTGACAAAATTTAATAAAATCAATCAAAAATTAACAAAAAAAAAAAAAATAAATAAAATAAAAATAAATAAATAAAAAATAATAAAAATAATATAATAATAATAATAATAGTAAAAATAAAAATGAAAATAATTGTAATAATAATAAAAATAAAAATAAAAATAAAAATAAAATAATAATAATAATAATAATAATCATACAAAAATTGAATAAAAATAAATATAAAAATAATAAAATAAATGGTTTTATAAAAAATAAAATAATTATTTTTTTACCTTCAAGTTTTGGATAAAAGAAAAAGTCACAGCGGAACGGGTCTTAGTATCTTACGACATTATTAGTTTGTATATTATTATTATAATTATTATTAGAATTTTAGGCCACAAATTTGATATAGATTGGGGTATAAAGAACTATAAAATAAAACATAGCTCTGTACTGTTGAAAGATTTTCTTATCCGTCTGTATATATTCTACAATCATCGCAATATTAATTTGTTAATGTTAATTTGCAATATAATACCATATAGTACTTTTTAGATTAGACTGGGTAAACTCTAGGTACAAACAAATATTAATATATATACATATATCAAAAAGGAAATCTACAAGTATTGTATAAATCATATACACTCCTTTTTTTATAACTATATCCAGAGCTATAATGTTGCTCTAAACATAATAAATAGAAGAGCACTTAAAAGTTAAGTTTAAAATTAAAAGAATATCATATTGTAGCACAAACTAAATATCTGACATATAAAGCCCTCAGATACGCAAAAATATCAAGACCAAATATAAAGCTGATATCAAATACAAGGCATATATGTATATGTATAAGCCAGCTCTGGCATTATATTGTACTTCAGCCAAGGACTTCAAAGAGAATCGCTCACAAATTCAAGTTGTTACGGCTTGTGGTAATGGGGAAAACTGATATGTCAAATAAGCTTTAATAGAAAGTGTATCGCATAAGTTTCTGTCAAATTCAGAGAAGCGCATATGTGTGTGTGCGTGTGTGTGTGTGTGGGTATTTATATATTTTTTATGTGTGCCTGCGGCTTTGTGTGAAACAAAAGACCTAATTAAGATTCATTTGAACATATGCCCAAGGCACAAACAACAACCGAGCACACACCCATACAAACACACACATACACATGGGCACATAAATACGTATAATTAGTCGGCGCAGCCTAAAAGTATGCAGCATTTTGTTTGACTTGTGATTAACAGCCGCATTTAAACGCCGGATGTCGGATGTCGTTGGCGGCGGAAATGCGTATGTGGTCGTGGCTAGGTTGTATGACAAGCCTTTTAATGACAACATCACACACACACACAAACACACACACGCAAACGCTCACCTACTCACTCACCCACTCACATTTGCATTAATGATATGCAAATGATTTGTTTATCATTTTATGCTGCGACAACATTCGCATCTTTTATTGAAAAGTTTCTCATGCCGAAACAAATGAGCAAATAATCAGCAGATAAAGTAGCCTCACGTCAAATACATTGATAAGAAATGAAGTCGCCTTGTTTCACATCCTCAAATTTTATTAAGTTTTTTCTCGTTTTTTTTTTTTTTCGGCTTGCTCCATAAGATGTTAATCAAAGACGCACGTTGCTCATATACGACATACATACATACATATATCCCGGGCCGTGTCGAGGCGCTTACTCTCGCCTTTTGCTGTAATAAATACGTACGACTGAAGATATTTTTATTTTGGTTTTTTTTTTTCTTTGGTTTTTTTGGGAAGGGGAGTTGAGTTGCCCACCCACATGTCAGGCGTGTCTCGTCTGACGTCTGTAGTCGCTGGCACACGATGCGCTTGTTTATTATTGTAGGATGTTTGGCTTGGCTCACATCAGCGAACTGGAAGGAATGCGCATTGACAGCGACAGTTGCTGCTGCCTGCCAGTGCGTTCGTTGGTCCTGCCCAAGGAGACGCAATCTCGAGCTAGCTCCAAGCACAGTACCGACGTGCCCTGCCAGACATTTGCATTGTTTTATTTACATACTTTGGCATAAAGTTTGGCCGCGACTTCCAACCTATCGATGATGATGATGATCATGATGAGCTGGGTGTGTGTGTACTTCATCTTTGGCATTGGCATGCATAATATCTATCAGCAGCTAAAGCTAAGCACCCAACTTGAGCATTTAAGACTGACATGAGCAAAATTTCCAATTCGTTCTGGGCTGCCAGGCTGCCTGTCTGGTGTTATCATAATCATTATTATTATTATTATTATTACATTGTATTCCTTTAACTTAATTCGAAAACCCAAAATATGCAAAACGTATTCAGCTTTTGATGGCGCATAATTTGTTTATCTTTAATTTAAATTAAGTTCAACGCATTTTTCGCTCAATGCTTATTCACTGTAGCTCTTGCTCTCTCCAGCTCCAACTCCAACTCCACCTCTCTCTCTCTATCACTCATATACTTACAGAAGTTTATTTTATTGATGTGGGTTACACTCGCTGCTCAAAATTTATTTGTTTCTGCATAAATCATCGAAGCAATCGATTGGCTTGCTTTTCCAAGTAAATAGAGATATCTCTTCACGAAATTATTTCCCAGAAATGCTATCAAATAAATCAGCAAACTAATGGAAAGTTTTCAGCATATGGCATTTGATGTTGTATTTATAATTATTTCTTATCGAAACTAATCAGAACTAGCAATTAGCAGTACAGCCTAAGCTGTCTTTCAATTAGAGTTGAGATTGGGAATCCAACTTAAATAGAAGTCGATCCCATGAGAAGTAGACAGACTGGGAGAGAGAGAGACAGACAGGGAGACAGACAGGGAGACAGAGAGAGAGAGAGAGAGAGAGAGAGAGAGTGAGAGAAAGAGAAAGAAGGAGCTATATATTATGTGAAATCCGCCAACCCAACTCTCATTTGTTTTTCGATCTATTTTTCTATCGCAGCCGCGCCTACTCAAGCTTCTTGCTGAGATGTTCATCTAGACTCTTATAATTATAATAATACTATCCATAATAAAATATATAAATCCCTTTAGTTTTTTAAAAATAAATATAACTTATAAACAGTATGTGAAATAAGATATCACCTACCCCATAATCCCTCACTCTCCTTGGCACACGTATTGCTCCCATTCCTCTTCCCATTTTTCATTCTTTTTTTTCCAGCTAAAAATATAAATAATGCCTTAAAGTTAACAATGGCGGCAGTTATTTATATGTGACCTTTTGACTCATCCACAATCTGCTCACGTTGCCTGCCATATAAACGAGTTCATAACGCCAAGGCCCCAGGGACAGAACCAAAGCTAACCTACTTAAGAAAAAAAAGAGCACAAAACAAAACAAAACTTCCTTTTTAATATCATTTAGTACTCCAAGCAGTTGGTATAGACGAGCGAGCGTATTCCCTTAGGATTTCTGCCTTTAATAATTGATACGAGTTTCATTTCAAACATTTGGCAAATCGGAAATACATTTTAAAATCATTTTCCAGCTATTTTCGAATTGTGTTTCTTCTGACCAACTTCACTTTAAAGTCTAAAGCCCCAGAAACTTGTCAACCGCAAAAACTTTGGCAAAACTAAGAGAACTTTTCGGCGGAATGTCCTCAGTGAGGGCTGAGAACTTAAGATTGATTTGCCCACTGAATTTGATTATTGATTTAAGACAAATTGGTACGATATTTTGGGTACGAGAGATAAAAGAAAATAAGAAAACTCTTAGGGAAATTTGGAATATTGTATATTTTTTCATTACACATTTAGAAATAACATGTTGAGAGTAGTGCAAGAAGTCCGTTCTCTCTGTATGCGCAGTATATATATATATATATATAAGACTTAGTATATATATATATAAGATTTTATAGTAAATAGTCGTATAGTCTATAAGAAATGTTATATTTATTTTCGCTTTAGAGAAGCGAACTTTTGTTTAGTCAACATTAAATTGCTTTAATTTATCATATTTTCAGATACACACACACACACATACACACATATGCATATCCATATATATCTTCAATCAATAAAATCAAATATGAATTTTTAGAATTCTATTCTTTTTGTGGTTTATCTTCGGGCAATAAGTTATTTATTTTGATTAATTAACACAAAGCATTTTACAAATAACAAATATGCCGTGAGTGTGTGTGTGTTTATATCTATATGTAATTATATCTCTTTATGCAATCCACACTGAAATGCACAACAAATATGCTTCAAAATAAATTGAATTGCAAATTAAAAATCCATTTGAAATGTGAAAAAAAAAAAACAATTGTCAAGGCTTTGTCCCGGGGCAATCAAAACAAATCAGATAAAAATAAAAACTAAACTATAAAAACAAAAAATAAATAAAAAATTGTGTTTCAAATATTTGAATTCTAATTTTATTCAAATTTTCTTTTTTTTTTTCAGTTTTTTGTTAAAGCGACTAGCTATAATATAATATGTAATGTATGTTGTTTTTGTTTCTTCATTCTTTTATTTATTTTATTTTTATTGCAAACAAAATGAAAGCAAGTAGTTTTTGACTGCAGCTAATTAAAAAGTGAGCAGAGCACATCGCGATCCGTTGCCATGGTTAACACACATTAATTTTTAGTTAAAAACAAACAAACAAACAAAATTATAAAAAAAAATCACTAAGTAACACAGTTGATATATATATATATATTTTTTTACCGTACCAAAAATCTGAAAGTTTGTCTAGATACACGCACGCACGCACACGCACACACACACGCACATGCACACCCCCACTTGCACACACACACACACACACACACACACGCTTACTCATGGAGTAACATTCGCTCCGCTTGCTCTAGACATATAAGTACACCCGGCAAATTATCTAAACATTTCCTAGCTCTGTTCGTATAACATTTGATTTTTGTTGTTGCTTTCGGTTGTAGTTGTTGTTGTTGTTGTTGTGTTTCAAATTTGGGGCTAACCCCTTTTTAGAACGCCCCACTAACCGTCCGTCCGTCCGTCTGTCCGCCCAGCGGCCCAAATAAGCTGTGGATTGTCTATCTTCTTATTCAGTTGTGGGCTGCTGTTGCGGCTTCTGCTGCTGTTGTCACTTGGTTTGATGTATGCGGTAGAGTTTCCATCAGCTTAGCCGGCAGCCCCTCCGACTCCTGCTGCTGTTGCTGTTGCCTTGGCTCCTCCTCCTCTGCCCGCTGCTGCTGCTGTTGCTGTTGCTGTTGTTGCATGTGGTTTGTTGCGTTGTAATTTGCTGTTGACGTGAAGCTGTCGCCTTCTATAAAATCAACTGTTTGCCTGCCATCCATCATTGTGCTTGGATTGGCCCAAGCTGCTGCTGCTGCTGCTCCAGTCACAGCCTGGACGTCTGCTCTGGCTTGTTTTGACGTGAAGGCTTCGGCTTCGGCTGCTGCTGCTGCTGCTGGCACTTCAGCTGCTTCTCCTGCTGCTACTTTGTTTTCCCTCGGCTGGTCAGTCGAACTGCTTTCCTTTTCACCTGATGACGACGACGACGACGGCGGCGGCGTCTGCTGCGCTCTTTGAGCTGGCAAATTATTTGCTAATTGCTTTCCCAATGTGGACAGCAGCTGGGGCTGTGGCTCACTCAGGCTTTCTATTGCTGTTGCTGCTGCTCCAGCTGCTCCTGCTCCTGCTGCTTCCACTTCTCTTGCTGTAGTAGTTTCAGGCGTATCCGGCATATTTATAATATCCGCTGCAGCGGAATTTAGATTTTTCAACATCTTAGACACGCCTGCCTGCCCTAGATCCAAGCCCAGCTCCAATTGCTGCTTGTCCTGGGCCGTTTCCGCTGTTGCTCCTGCCTTGACTAATGTTTCTGCCTCGGCTGCTGTTGCTGTTACTCCTGCATCATTGATGCTGTTTGCTGTTGCTGTCTCTGGCTCTGGGTCTCGTCCTTGTCCATGATTTGATTCGACATCTAAAATATGCAAAGAATGGCAAAGTTAGCAATGAAGTAAAGTGAAAATAAAACAGGAAATGACAGGCGCGTTACAATTTACAAAACATTCGTTTCACTGAATACTTTACTGCTGCTTCTTCTTCTTCTTCATCATCATCATCATCATCTCTTCCTCTTCGTCTTCGAATTGAGAAATAATTTCATATTATTGTAAACACATAAAGAAGGTAGCCAGAGCCAGAGAGGGGGAGAGCTCTGCTGGGTTGGGTCGGTCGACCGGGCAGCGCACACACTCGCCTCGCATTTATATTTTATATCGTTAATATTGACTACGTTTTATGTGCGAGTGCGACGCCTCTTTGACATTTATTGCCACTCCTTTTTATACCCTGCCGATAGCCAATGAAAAAAAAAAAATAACAAAAAAAAAAAAAAAAAAAAAAAAAAAAAAAAAAAAAAAAAGAATTATAATAAAAATGATTAA